GTGAGTGGCGAAGTCCCGGGCGAAACCTGTAGAGAAGGCGAAGTCGGGGATGCAGGGCGCGCCGCTAACGGCGAAGACACCGGTGGCGCACGAGCAGTCGACGAAAACGCTGATGCCGGCGTTGGGGATGGCGGCAGAAGACGCGCGGCGGTCCGGGTGGTCTTGTTTGTCGAGCGGGACCTGCTAGAGCGACGGGCAGGCGACGGTGTCCGAGGGACGATGGTAGCCCGCGGCTGGCGTCCGAAATAAGCGGGACCGGTGACGGTGCCTCCGGAAACAGCGGTAGTTTTGGCCCGAGTCCGTGAAGAAATGAGCGGTCCCTGCTCCGGAAGCGAAGACAAAACGTGCACATATCTAGTCGCCAAAGACGCGACAGGAGACATCACGCGGGACGCATCCGAAGTCAATGAGGAAGCAGGCCCTGAAGATGCGAGAACAGGCGAGACGATGAAGACCCCCGGGGACCGCTGAGAATTTTCGCAGGCAATCTTTGAGTCCGTCAGAGCATCCACCCGACGCGGGTGATGTCGGCGAAAATCCCCAAAATCGGAGGGCTGCAACGCTGGGGGCGAAAAGACTCCTGCCGTGCAAGGAGGGCGGAGCCCACCCAAACCGACCTCCGGTGTAGACGACGAGTGATAGTTGCGCCCGCAAGCCCAAATGAGGAAAACACCCGCTTGATCGACACTATCAATGCAGTCGGGGCCGGTTTTGTCCGTGTCTTGTGCTGGTAAAGGCAACCGCGAAAGAAAATCCGCGTTGCCGTTTGCCGAACCTTTTCGATATTTCAGGGTGTAGGTGAAGTTGGACAGGAATTCGAGCCATCGTTGCACCCTAGCGTTGTGTTCCCCAACCTTGCCAATGCTCTCCAATGCTTTGTGGTCCGAATAGATGATGAACTTGGTCGACCACAGATAACCGCGAAGGCGTTTGATGGCCCAAACAATGCCACCAGCCTCCAGATCCAAAACGGTCCAGTTACGCTCCGCAGGAAGAGTAGCGCGGCTGATGTACACGATGGGTCTCACCGAGCCATCGAGCTGTTCTTGTTCCAAGGAGGCGCCAAAACCGTCGATACACGCGTCGGACCACAAATGAAGAGGACGGCTGTTGTCCTCGATTGCTGCCCAATCCGGGAAGACCAAAATCGGGGGGCGAGCGAGTTCGCTTAACAACGTTTTGACAACCTTGACCATGCCCGGGGTGTACTTGAAGGGGACGCCTTGTTTGAGAAGAGAGTTGAGAGGCCGCACCTTGGTGGCGAGATTCTTGAGGAATTTCCGGTAGTGGCTGAGTCCACCGAGAAGACTCTGAAGCTGCTCAACATTCGTCGGCGGCGGCGTGTGCGTGAGCGCCCTAACCTTGACGCCATCAGGGCTAACACCTGCCGGAGAGATGGTGTGACCGAGAAAGTTGGCGTGCGTGGCGCCGACGCGACCCTTCCCTGGAGACAGTTTGAGGTTGTACTGTCGCAGTCGTTTGAAGAACTCGATCAAGTTCAGCACGTGTCCCAGAGGTTCCTCATCGAAACAGATGACATCGTCCAGATAAGCCAGCACACGCTCCAGACCGTGCACCACTCTGTTGATGACCTTGACGAACCAAGACGGACTTGCGTTGGCGCCCTGCGGCATCCGAAGCCATTCGAACAACTGCGTGGGAGCGCAAAAGGCGGTGGGCGGGACAGTGTCTTCATCACAAACGATCTAGTGGAAAGCCGAGTTGAGGTCGAACATGGAGAACACTTTCCCGGCGTACAGAGAATCCAAGATACCGTCCACTCGAGGGAGGGGTTGTCCATCCAAATCCACCAGAGCGTTGAGACGTTTGTAGTTGACGGTGATGCGAACCGATCCGTCCTTCTTGGGGATGACAACTAAAGGAGAAGCCCACGGAGATGTGGAATGTTGAATGAGCCCTGCCGCCAAATACTGGTCCAAAACGGCATCCACTTTCTTTTGCATCAACGGGTTGATACGATACGGGCGTGATGCAACGGGCTTCGTCCCTGCTGGGACAGAAAGCGTGAACGGCATTATGTTGCAGGAACCAAAATCGGTTTTCGAAGTAGAGAACACGTCAGAATATTCCACAAGGGCGTCGGCCAAACGATCAATAGCCTCCGGTGTCCATCCCGGATTGTGTAGATCGAAAGCGATGTCGTGCATATGTGCGGGCAGCCTAGCCCACAAGCGCATGAAGCTGGAGCGCTGTGCCTCAGAGAAGCGGTCGAGTAGTTCTTGTGGAGGCGGCTTCGGAGGAGGCGGGGCGGAGGCTGGGTCCGGAGAGCGGTGAGTCCCGGACTTGGGGCCAACGGCGTTGACCCGAGGTGGTGATGTAGATGTTGTGGGGCCGGTAGGAATCGAAGATGGTGCCGCCTTCAGGGTTTCCACCGGTACTCGTAGTAGCGGCGCGGCAGACACTCCAATTACGTCTCCCGGCTCGAGCTCGGCACAACCTGCAAGGGGAATACGCTGGAGACCATTTGAAACGAACGCATCTGGGGAAGAAAGCGCACCCACTTCGGGTTTGAACGATACCAGATACTCTCCAATCAGCGCAGGCATGCCAGACGAACGAACGAGGTCCACCTCAACGAGTGCAGGCTCCGGCCCCAAAGAAATTCCCGAGCTCCCTGCATATTTAAGGTGAAACGAGGAGGTAGGAGCGTCGTCGTGTGTAGCGTAAACGCAAGCGCCAGCTGTAAAACGCGGAGAGAGCGTGAGCTCGCCCATAACCCGGCCGTCCGGTCCAGGGTGGGGGAGGGTGGTGAACACGCGAGAGTTGAAGCGCATCCAGCTATCACGACCCAGAAGCACGGCGTGCCCCATGGCGGCGTCTGGAACAACACAGGCCCAGACCGCCAAGGAAGCGGTAGCTCTATCTCCATGGAGAAAATTAACGGTGAGACGAATCGACCGGGTGGTCACAAGGGCGGGTCCATCACCAAACCCACCCCAACGACGAGAGGGCGAAACACGAACGCTGCCAGCTGTCAGGGCTCCGGCAGCTATCATGGCGGTGACCACGGAGTCGGAAACGAAGGATGCAGGAGACCCAGAGTCCAGAAGCGCCACTCGCGCGAGTTGAGAAGTGGCTGTAGGTCCTCCATGCAGCAGGACCCGGGTGGTGTATGAGTCCGAGTCCAACAGGAGCGTGCCGCCGACCAGATCGGGTCCATGTTCGAGAAGAGGGGGCTGGTCTGCACAAGCGGAGATCGATGCCACCAGATGAACGCCAGGAGCATGGTCCCCGGAGCGTCCAAACGTAGACAAGCTTGGTCTTCGCCCGGGTCCTTCCGTAGCGAAGAACCTGTAGCAGTAGCAACCTCATGAATGCGTCGATGTCCATGGAGAGGAGGCTGCGAAATGGGGGGCGTGGGAGAATTGGAAGCGGGGAAATCTTCGCCAGAGAGGGGATGATCACGCAAAAGGCGTCGAACTTCCATCAAAGCTTTTCCCAACAAGTTTTTACCGCTAGCCGCCCACTTGGATGAATCGCTAGCATCTGGAAAGCATGCAGACATGCCGATACCCCAAACACGATCGAAGGGGCTGGCTTCTGCAAGGAGGCGGGTACCCGTCTCCAGTAGATGATGTTTCATGTCATGGTTTTGAGCAAATTTGGCGTACGACCCCGTAAGCACGATCTCTTCACGACGACGCTCCCATTCAGCATAGTCGAAAGGACGCACATTTCGACCCAAAGACTTGTGTGTCTTAGGATCTGTTGCAGCCATAATTTTGTTATACGACGTCATATCTCCAAACAACTTCGCTTTTTCAGACATCATGAATTGCTCACCACATGAATAACGTACCCCCAGTATGTCAAAGCCGAAGGCGTCCATTGCGACAACACATACGGAGGTTTCCAGAAAAGAAGGACGTCATCCGAAGCGTACTCGCACTTGTCATCAAACGGCGGAGCCGGTGCAGGGCGAAGGGGCAAAGAGCGGGCACCAGGCACAGGCGGGGGTGGACCAGGCGGACGGGTCCTCTTCTCCGACGGGGAGGACCCAGAAAGCGAGGCAGGAGCGGGCGAAGTCGCAACGCGCCGTGATCCGGAGGGCGGCCTTAGGGCGGCGGCTCCGGCGGGGTCAATGCTAGCAGAGGCCATTCGGCTATTAGAGACCCGTTCGTTAGGAGAAGACATTTCTGCAACAGACGGATGTTTGATCATTGACGCAGGGCGCTCTTGACTACTCCCCCTTGACAAAGGAGCCGAACCTTCCACAGAATGGTGGGCACTACCATCCGATCCCGATGGCAGTGGTGCAGTCAACACGTGGTGGGCAGCAGAGGAAGACGCATTCGTATCAGGTGCTGTCACACGGGGGGAGCGGACGGTCGAAGACAACGAAAGCTGCGAAAGAGACGGAGGATTTACCGGGTTCCCGACGAGTGTAGAAGAAGGCTCGTGTGCGGTCCGAGAAGAGGCCCGGCTGACAACACCAGGAGAGTCTTGACGAATAGTAGAAGACGA